CTCACCGAAAAGAGCAAATCGGTCCCACCGAGTTTACCTGACCAACTCTCTGGTTAGCTAATTACCAAAATCGGTCTTACCGAGTTTGTGTAATTGGTCTCACCGAAATTACGTTATGCCCTAACCCTAACCATATCGGTCTTACCGAGTTGCATGTCGGTCCCACCGAAATCACTAACGGTCACTAGGTTTACTAAATCAGTCCGACCGAGTTTGTTGATTCGGTCCCACCGAGTTTGGTAAATTGTGTGTAACGGTTAGATTTTGTGTGGAGGCTATACATACCCCTCCACCTCCTCTTCATTCGTAGAGAGAGCCATCAGAACAAACCTACACTTCCAACTTACCAGTTCTGAGAGAGAACCACCTACTCATGTGTTGAGGCCAAGATATTCCATTCCTACCATATGAATCTTGATCTCTAGCCTTCCCCAAGTTGCTTTCCACTCAAATCTTCTTTCCACCAGATCCAAATCCTATGAGAGAGAGTTGAGTGTTGGGGAGACTATCATTTGAAGCACAAGAGCAAGGAGTTCATCATCAACACACCATTTGTTACTTCTTGGAGAGTGGTGTCTCCTAGATTGGCTAGGTGTCACTTGGGAGCCTCCGACAAGATTGTGGAGTTGAACCAAGGAGTTTGTAAGGGCAAGGAGATCGCCTACTTCGTGAAGATCTACCGCTAGTGAGGCAAGTCCTTCGTGGGCGACGGTCATGGTGGGATAGACAAGGTTGCTTCTTCGTGGACCCTTCATGGGTGGAGCCCTCCGTGGACTCGCGCAACCATTACCCTTCGTGGGTTGAAGTCTCCATCAACATGGATGTACGATAGCACCACCTATCAGAACCACAACAAAAACATCCGTGTCTCCAATTGCGTTTGAATCCTCCAAACCCTTCCCTTTACATTCTTGCAAGTTGCATGCTTTAATTTCCGCTGCTCATATACTCTTTGCATGCTTGCTTGAATTGTGTGAAGATTGCTTGACTTGTCCAAAGATAGCTAAAATCTGCCAAAGTCTAAAATTGGGAAAATGTTAAGTTGTTAATTGGTCAAGTAGTCTAATCACCCCCCCTCTAGACATACTTCAAGGTCCTACAACGGCCCCGATTCCTGTGTCGCTGGCGTCAGTCTCAACCATAAACTGCTGCTTGAAATTGGGAAGAGCGAGGACATGCGCGGAGGTGAGACTCAGTTGCAAGAGTCTGAAGGTTGTTTCAGTTGGAGGTGTCCACACAAATGGAACCCCCTTCTTAAGCAGATTGAAGAGGGGACGGGTGATGACTCCAAAGTTTTTGACAAATCTGCGATAATAACCGGCGAGACCCAGGAAGCTGTGAACCGCCTTCACATCTGTTGGCACAGACCAGTTGGACACAGCTCGTATCTTCTCCGGATCTGTTACAACTCCCGAACCACTGATCACATGACCCAGATAGGCGACTTGCTGCTGACCAAAAGCACACTTCAAGAGTTTCACCTTCCAACTGTCATAGCAAAGCAACATGGGCACCTCTCGTAGCTTCTAGACGTGTTCTCTCAATGTCCGGTTGTGCACAAGAATGTCATCGAAAAACACAAGCACGTCATCGCGAAGAACTGCTTTCAGGGTGCCGTGCGTCGCCCCATTAAAGGTACATGGACCTCCGGCCAATCCAAAAGAAACAACTCTGAGAGTGGCCTGAATGCGTTTGAAACGCAGTTTTGTACTCTTCTCCTTTTGTGAGTCGAATTTGATGATAACCGGCTCGAAGGTCTAGCTTGGTGACCAGCATGACCCAAACAACTCATCCAATAATTCCTTGATCACTGGCACTGGGTACTTGGCGACATTAGTGAGTGCATTGAGATGACGATAATCGACGCATAGACGCCACGTCCCATCTTTCTTCTTCACAAGTATCACTGGTGATGAAAAAGCGCTTGTACTGGGTTGGATGATGCCAGTTTTGAGCAGTTCTGCAATCTGTGCTTCTATCTCATCCTTGTGATTTGGCTTATGGCGATAGGGTCGAATACTGACTGGCTGCACTACGAGAATCAAGGGTATCCGGTGACCACATGCACGATTGGGAGGAAGACCCTGTGGTTCTCCAAACACATCTGAAAAATCTTCCACTAACTGCTGAATGAGCGATGGGACTGGTTGCTACTGCTCTTGGACCGGTGAAACTAAGTACACCTGAACTATGTGTGACACTGCACCCTGCTTGCAAAGAGCCTCGAGTTGAATGTTGTTGATAGTATAGCAAGTCGAGGATGTTGCTTCGCGGCCCTGGAGGACAACTGCTCCTTATGCTAACTAAAACTGCAAATGCTTCGCTCGCCAATCTACTGACATAGGACTGTGGGCTTCTAACCAATCCATCCCAAGAATCGCATCATACGTGCCCAGTGACAATATCTTCATGTCGGTCGCAAATTCTTTGCCCTGTGTGTACCAAGCACATTGCTATACCATAGAAGAGCAGAGAAGTTCACCACCGTCAGCCACTTTGGACTTTGCATTCTTTGGGTAAGGGCTGGACTCCCTCCAACTGCAAAGCGAGCTCCTGGTTGATGAACAAGGCCGATCTACCGGAATCCACAAGCATTAGGACCTCGTGGCCCTGGATCCACGCTTGCAACTGGAAAGCCTTGCCCGAGACCCCGCCTGATAGCGCGAAGCGAGAAATGGCACAAACTGTCTCTTGACTGTCCTGTGGCTGTTCAGGGTCGTCACAGTCGACGATCGCGTTGATGGCGAATAATTCCCATAGCTCCTCGATGACGTGAAGTTGCACGGATGTGGGGCAGACATGATCTTGACCCCAACGATCGCTGCATTTGAAGCAGAGGCCCCGGGCATGCCTGTAGTCGCGCAGGGCCTTGACCTTGGCAGTGTTCGCACGCGCTTCCTCGACGCCACGGCGATCGGCCGCGATCGCCGGCGGCGTAGGTCTTGTTGGTGGCAGGGGTGCCCCTCCGCGTGGTTGTGCGTCTGAAGGACGCGATGTCGATGGTGAGCGCGCATCGCCAAACGCACCATGGACCACTTCTTCTTGCAGAAGGGCAAGGGAGCATGTTGTATCCAGATCCGGTGGTCGCTGCACTAGCACCACCGCCGGATGTCCGCCCGTAGTCCCTCCACAAAACGAGTCAAAAAGAAGGAAGGATGGATATTATCAAAATAGGATGACAGATGGTTAATGATGACTTCAAAACTTCGATGTAATCAGCGACAATGGTGAGCTGCCGCACGGTGTAAAATTGACGGATCAAAAGCTGGTGTCGATCATGACCAAAAATGGGTGCACAATAGCGAAGAGAAGGACTCCCAATCTAGATCAGATAGTTTTTTCTGAACAGATTGAAGCCAAATCAAGGTTGGTCCCGAAAAATTCAGGGAAGCCATCAGTACCTAAAAGGACTCAAGAATGCCAAACATCTGGAAGTACTGCTCACACAAAGTTTTCCAGAGGCGTGGGTTTTCACCCGTGAATTGGGGAAACTGATGGAAGGGTGCGCCTGGCCTAGACCAGCCAGGAGCTGACTGGCGTGTGTGAGCGGTGAAGCCAAGGGAAGTGGTGAAGCGAGGGTGTACTGACCCGTTGCTGGGAGCGGCGGCGGCGTCGAAAGGACGTCGCCGGCAACCCCCGGGGAAGATGAGCGACGCCGTGGTCCATAGCCCCTTGAGTTGATGCTGCCGCGCCCTCCACAACGCCGGAAGTTGCGATGTGGGTCGCTGGCGGACTGGCCGTGGGTGGTGGCATCGAGTTGATTTCCTCGGATGTCGCCGCAGGGAGGGGCCGCTCGAGTTGCAGCGCGGCGACGGCCTCGCCGAGATCCGCCACTCGCGCTCTAGATCGGGGCGCTAGCTGATGATGTCATCGATCTTGGTTGTGGAGGCTTGAATTGACGTGATCGCCGTGGTGTGGGCCGCCAAGGTGGAGTCGAGCCGGTCGAGGAAGGCCTGGATGGACGGATCCATGGCAGCCAAGTGAGATCGCGCCTGACGTAGCCGGCGTGTCTCGATGAACTGCGCCAGATCGTTGCAGGGAAGAGGAGTGGGATGGTCTCTGATACCAAGTGTAAGATGATGGATAATGGAAGGGGATCGATCTATTACAACTCTCCGAAGTAGTAGCAATACAGATTGAATACAGGGTTCAGTTCTTGCAAAGGGGAAACTACACGAAGATGAACTAGGTTGCCGCCGCCGGGTTCTACATTGATCCTATGGATGATGCCTTCAGTGGCTGGCTGGTGCTTTAGCAGTCGCAGGCTTGCCTGTCACCCACTCTGGGCCTTGGATGCGCGAGTTGGGCTTGCGTGCACGGCTGGGCCGCGTACCCCTGGGCCGCGTACCCCTGGGCCGCGTACCCCTGGACTGGTCGCTGCTTGCAGATGGGGCCACCTTGTCAGGAACGCTGACAGCGACTCGACGGGAGCTCGGGAGGAGCACGAGCGGCAACTTCGCTCAAGATCCAGATCCTGCAACAAAGTCTTTGTTGCGATGAGAGAAATTGCAACAACGACCTAGTTGCAAAAACTAGTGGTGATGGTCATGCGGCACGTGGCGTGTAGACAAGATGACGGATTCGGGGTTGTGATCCGCCGGATAATCTATAGAGTTTCCCGAAAACAAAGCAATGTTTGTTGTAAAAATAAATCAGAATTTGTTTCTTCTTATTTTTCGGATTTTAGAATGGCATTTTCGTCACTTTTGCAGCTCCCTTCATTTCCTAGTTGCGAATTGCGATGTTAATCTCTCACACGGGCACCTCCACTTTCCAACAATTCTGTTTAAGCGGAGCGTGGTGGCTGGTGGGTGATGCTCGCGAAAGCGAAGCACCACCACCCCACAAAGAAAAAGAATATCCCCAATCCCACACTTCGATCACCGCTCAAACCCTAGCTACCAATCCCCGCAATTCCTCCCCTGGCCCAGGTTCCTCCGTAGCTGGATGCCCCCAACCTAGGCGGCGGCTCGGTGGCGTGTGTGCGTGCGCGGCCGCCGATGGAGCCGCGCGTGGGTAACAAGTACCGCCTCGGCCGCAAGCTCGGCAGCGGCTCGTTCGGGGAGATCTACCTCGGTTCGTGCGCAGTTCCCCCGCCTGAACAAACCATTCGGATGCTAAAGCTCTCGCCTTTGTGCCGATTCTGTTGGATTGCTGATTAAATCGTGTGTTTTCACTTGCTTTGGGTTGCCGGTGCAGGTACTAACGTGCAGACCAACGAGGAGGTCGCGATTAAGCTTGTGAGTTGATGCGGCAATTCTCTTGGATTTCAGCATAGTTGTGCTTATGATTTTATAATCAGTGAGATTTTTGCTTTTAGTGCCAGTATTTTCTTTTCTATTTGGTATTTAACTTGATAATTGATGATTTTCTGTAAAAACGCACCCAAATATTGGAGCAATCTTATATCTCGCTATTGTGGAAAGTACAATAACAAAAGTATATGCTTCTTGGCTATTCCTTCAGGCTTATATTTCGTGAATTGGTAGCTATGAGTCAAACTTCTTTACTAATTACTTCCATCTGCGCTTAAAGGGTAAATGATGGATACAGAAGCAAGATTCATTGAAAACTATTTCCTGCCAAGGATTACGGGTTGCTATTATATGGACTGAGCTGTGTAAGCTCTCCTGCATTTGCAATCTTGCATTAGTTCATTTTAGTTCCCAAGAATTAAACGTCGAGAGAGTAGGGAAGATATAGGAGAGGAAAAGTTGATAGATGGTAAATGCAGCCCAACCACCTCCATATGCTCTAGTGCATCAGCAAGATTGTACTTGTTTCAATTCTGAAGTTCTAATCTTAGTCCCTTATTTGTGGTGTGCATTGGAAAAATGTTGCTGCATTATTGGTGTCAGAATAATGATTGTTATGATGTCACACTCAGTCTATTTCTCCAAAACTATTGCAGGCTTTGTTCTGTTCAGACTGATAAGGCCTTATGCTTTTGCTCTGTGCAGGAAAATGTGAAGACAAAGCATCCTCAGTTGCTGTATGAGTCAAAGTTGTACAGAGTACTGCAGGGCGGAAGTAATACCCGTTCATTTTCTTTCCTTGAACCATAAATATAAGATATTTTTTGCCGTTGTGATTCGGGCATACATTTTTTTTGGTTGTGCAGCTGGGATTTCAAATGTCAAGTGGTTTGGTGTTGAGGGTGACTACAATGTTCTTGTTATGGATGTGTTGGGGCCAAGCCTTGAAGATCTTTTCAGCTTTTGCAACAGAAAACTGTCGCTCAAAACTGTTCTGATGCTTGCTGATCAAATGGTACACTCAATAACTGAGATTAGCTAGTCTTTGTCATTTTGTTGTTGTTATTTGATGATTTTATCTGGTTAAATCCATTTAACTTCCATTTTTATTAGATCAACCGAGTTGAATTTATACATTCAAAGTCCTTCTTGCATCGAGATATAAAGCCAGACAATTTTCTCATGGGCCTTGGAAAGAGAGCAAATCAGGCAAGTCATTTTTGCTGTTCACCTGCCTACAGTTCTAGAAATTATTTAGAACATTACATATATGCGCTTACATCTTGTGCTTACTGTTGTTTTAGGTATATATGATTGACTTTGGACTGGCAAAGAAATATAGGGACACGTCAACGCACCAGCACATTCCATACCGGTATATCTAGGCTGATGCTTGAGTCAATTGTCATTTGCACTTCTGCAGTAATTTACTTTAGTTGCTTTGGTAATGGCTGATGTTACTTTAGTGGGAACCATAACAGTACTGTGTTTCTACATCGAATGATATTGATGACATAATATATAGTATTACCAACCATCCTTTTCTTAACGAGACTTTGTACTTGTCTACCTATAGCCTGTATGACAAATGTGTATTGAAATACAGGGAGAACAAAAATTTGACTGGGACAGCTCGATATGCGAGTGTAAGCACCCATCTCGGAATTGGTTAGTCCACTTCACAAGTTGAATATTATATCCATTTATCTGCTATGTATATCTTTAAGTGCACCATGTTACTGTTTCTTCATTAAATCTCTCTTGCCTTTAAATGCACCATCTTGTTTAAAGAATAAAGGTTGATGCTTTTTAAATAGAACAAAGCAGAAGGGATGACATGGAGTCTCTTGGATATGTACTCATGTACTTCTTGAGAGGAAGGTTGGTTATGCAGCTTCAGTTTGTTCTATTTTTATGTCATCTGGTGTGTTCTAACCGCCCCCCTGTTACCAGTCTCCCATGGCAGGGTTTAAAAGCCGGTACGAAGAAACAAAAGTATGAGAAAATCAGCGAACGGAAGATTGCCACTTCAATTGAGGTGATTCTCATGCACTTTAAATTCAATCATGACTTAACTAGTTTGTGTATTGATTGTTTGTTCGATTTCAGGCTTTGTGTCGTGGATACCCTTCTGAATTTCAGTCATTCTTCCATTACTGCCGCGCACTGCGTTTTGAAGACAGTCCAGACTATCAATACCTGAAGAGATTGTTCAGAGATCTTTTTATTCGAGAGGGTTGGTTTTCTATTTATATGTTACTAGATAACGTTTTGCATTGCAACATTTTTTTTATAAAAAAACTACTTTTCGGACACTTCTCATTGGTTATTTTTCTGTGTAGGATTCCAGTTTGATTATGTTTTTGACTGGACCATTCTTAAATACCAGCAGTCACAAATGACCAGTGCTCCACCACGTGCTATTGTCAGTACAGCTCAAAGTGCTAGCCTTCTGCACTTGTCCGTGGAATAAATATCTGATAAATGTTCATGTTCTGTTGTTTTAGGCCGCTGCTGCAGGACAAAGCTCGGGGATGGCTCCAATTGCAAGTAATAATAGACTGTCAGGTATTCTTGTCATGTAGCTGTTTTTTTCCCTACAACTAACGTTGTCACATTTGATAATTAGATTTGAGGAAATAGTATAATGGTTGGATGCTTCGTGCAAAATTATATGCAACACCAATGAACGAGTGCAAATAATAATGGAAATTATATAATATATGTAAGTGGAGCAGGCTCGTAAACTGTTTCCCGTTATCTTGCTTAGGAGTAGCACACATCCTGTTTCAGGTGCATGTTCAGAACTACTCTTCTGTTGTATTGCTATTTCTTCAGCTAATCCATGGGCCAAGTAGGTTCTGTTAGGTTGGCTAACTGTCTCCTGAACTGATTTAGCCACCGAAGAGGGAAGAAGTGGGTGGTCAGATGATCCTACACGACGTCAAGTTCCACCTACAGGAATAAATGCAGGCAGCTTAGCGAAACAGAAGTCACCAGTTAGACCAGATGTGTCCGCACCAAAGGAAGCTGTGGTGAGTTTGTCCTATTTCATTTGTTTAGCATTGCTACCATGGTGTTCTTTGGATGCCTGAAGGATCCTATTTATCCTTCTGCAATGTAATTTCTCAACCTCGAATGACCTGTAGTTGTCCAGTTCGACTTTTTTGGGTCGGTCAGGCGTGTCCTCAAGGCGACCTGCTGTTTGTAGTAGCCGAGATTTGCCAAGCAGTGAGGCTGAACCATCGCGTAGTCGTGCACCAGACGTGAGTCCAGGGACGTTCCAGAGAAACTCAGCCCCACGGAGGACCTCACAGACGCTTGACTACTCTGACCCCAGGCACAAGTCTAACAGCAACAACTACGAGTCCACTATAAGGGGCATCCGGGGCCTAAATTTCAATGCCAACGATAGGATCCACTACTAGTATCTTCTGGATCCTAAAAAGCATGTATAATATGTGATCTGCTGAAGTTAAAGTGGGGAGTGAGGCCATACTTTCCGAGCTACTCTCCTACCATAGTACCATGTGATCCACAAGCTACGTGCTGGAGCGGTGAGGCAGTTTACTGACGCAAAGAAACGGGGGCTGGCTGGCAAAATAAAGGGTCTGCGACAGCCATGGCCCTAAAATAGCACGTTGGGCCTATGTTTTAGCCTCTCTGTACAGGTTTTCTTTTGTGCGTTGAGATGTTGCTTTCGTACTTTTCACATAATATTATGTTTTAAGATATTTACCTTACTGTCATGTCTAGTATGTTTACATTGGAATGCCTTGTTGGCTTGAGCAGGTAACTTCGAGCCCAGTGATAATTGTTTAAGTGCTTGTGATTATTATTGCGGACTGTAAACTTTCGGCACCTCCATGATAGGTCTAGTGTAGGGAGACAAAACATTGATCCAAACAGTATAATCTTTATTGAGACCATTAACGGTATATACGGGACCCCTCCCTCCCGACCCCGTGTTGCCACCTCCCGACCTCCCATCGACTCCTGCGCATCCCCTCCCTCCGCCGCCGCCGGTAATGTCGCTGGGCGAAGGCCCTGCGGCGCGGCGGCGACGGACCTCCTCTAGCGTCTCGAGATCTGAGGCGGCGGCGGCCTGATTTGGATCTCCCTCCCAACGAGGATGGCAGGCAGCGGCGGCCGGGGCATGATGGGGGGCTTGACTGCAGTCGGCGGGATTAATAGGAGATGGTGGCAACGGCGGTCGGGGCGCGTCCCAGGCTACGTCCTCAAACTGCTGCATCTCATCAGATTCGACGACGTCTCGCTGAAGCACTCCGGATCTGCATCGCATCATGAGGGTTATGGCGGTGGTGGTCATCTCCTACGTCGGAGGTGGTCGACCTGAGGCTAGGTGATAGGATCTCGAGATCTGTAATCTAGTCCTGGTTGCGAGTCGGGGAGACATAGGTGTCGGTGAAAACCGAGCCGACGGCGGATGATGGTGCCGTTCTATGCCATTACCTTGATGAAGGCATCGTCCTGTAACTACTGTCGACCCACTCGTGCTGCTCCGGGGGAAACCCTAGGATCTGGTTTTTCAGATCAGACAATGGCAGCATTGCGGTGTCATTTCTCTCTTGGGAGCATCGTTTGTGGAGCAGCGTTGGAAGTCAGAGGTAGGAGGTGGAGCGGCTTCATCTTGCACGATGCTTCGGTGGTGATGTCAAGTCATGCCTGGCCGGCAGGTGCTACGCTTTGTCATGCCTGGCCGGCAGGTGCTACGCACGACAGATTTTCCAAAGACTTCAAGTTGTGTCGACTGGTGGTACTTGTCGGCATGGTGCTGAGGTGTATCGGCATCGACCGCGACGTGCTCATCAGTTCGCGCGCAGGGAGGTGGTGACATTGGGCGCCGTGGTGGCCAGTGGCGGTGCCAGAAATCCAATCATGTGTGGTCAACTCAGTATTGTGTAGTCAAATGGATGCATTTATAAGTTTTTTGACATAATTTATGCTTGTTGTATGTTGTTTTTGCAAAAAGCTATGTAGTCAATTAACTACCAAACTCAAGTGTGGCTTTGCCACTGGTGATGGCGTTGATGGCAACTAGACCGGGTAAGGATGATGCGTCAGTGCAACTTTGAAGATGGAGTGGTGGCAGTTGGCGGCGGCGGCCTCTGAGAGCTCGTCGGACCGGTGTGTGCCCTATACCCGGCAAGTGGCTTGGTTTGGGCCTCAAGTCTTAGATGTTAGGCTTGGTTGCGAGGTCTGTGGTATTAGATCCAGACTATTAGCATCCCTTTATCAACTGGATAGAAGTAGCGAAAGATGTTGCCTAGACGGTGGTTTTAGACTTACTGCTGTATTTCTTTGTAAGGTCTTTTTTGAATAATTAATAAAGTGGCTGCATGCTTCGCCCAAATGCCAGAGCCCGGGGGTCTTCCTCCTTTAAAGAAAAGTATAATCTTTATTTGTAATAAGGTGATAATGCCACCAGGCGTGACATCAACAGGCGCCAGACTTGAGCGAAAGACGTGTTGGTTGCCAAAAGGCAACTTTTCCTGGGAATCAGGCATTAATTAATCATATAGTAATTAACACATGTTAATCAATCCTAACACTAATAGATGATCGATTGACAGCGAGCAGACATCATCATGATAAAGGCTTCTCCAAGAACCATATGGGAATAATATGAGAAAAATGTGTTTGATATAATGTTAAAACTCTTGTAAGCCTAACAAAAAAGAGGGAGAAATGACACAATAAAGAACGATTATTGTCCTTTTGCTAATTATAATATGTGAAGAACTTAACTAAATGAAAGCAAAGGAGCAAAGAGGCCCAAGCTCAAGGAGAAAGCCTTCATAGATGGAGTGGACTCCCCTCTCATGGGTCACAATTCCTCTCACAGCCTAATTAGGAGCCCACTTACTGAAGGACCAAATTAGGTCTATACCCCACCTCATCTCAAGGGTAGCCTTAGTCATTCATCGAGAACTCGTAGGCTATAAATAGCCCCTCATTGCAATGTAACTCATTCACTCTATCGATGTTTTGAGACCAACACATTGTCGTTGAACGGTGACATATTTGTTCGGAGGGCGAGCGAGTGGTGGATTGTGGTGGTAAGACACGAGACAAGGGATTTACCCATGTTCGGGTCCTCGGGACGTGGTAAGACCCTACTCCTGCCTTTGGAGGTTGTATGGCTCAAGTGCCCGACGATTGTCAGAAGGATCACCAAAGTGATCGGTTTCCTGGGTTACAAGCTATTGGCCTGACAATAGTGAGGAGGAATATGTGTCCGATTGCCCGAGAATCCCTAGCTCGGCCATGTACATCTAAGGTTACGTGGTTCAAGTTAGATTGTCGGTCGACTCGCGCCCCTCAGTCCCGCCGGACCGTGTCGTGTGCAGGAGACCTTTTGCTTACGCGTATCCCAAGGGGGTGCCACCTGGCCCCCAAGTGTCTGACTTAGCGCTACCATTACCAAATGACAAGGCCTTTGCCTAGTTGGCGCATCCAAATGTCGTATCCTCGCCAGTAGTCCCCGAGTGCCGCATGACCTGTCCAGCAGGAGGTTGCACATGACTTGTCGAATCCCCGCACAAGAGGAACAAAGGAAAGGGGAAAAAGTCGAGTAGCGCTTTCGGGGCATGTGGTGGTTTTTGAGCTACTAATGGGTAAGACTCGATCATATCCAATAGAATTTGGCTAGTGGCCCATTGCAGGGCGTATCGTAAATTTAATCAGAGTCCTGGGCTATGCCCGCTAGTCTGGGTTGGCCAGTCTCAGCTAGTATCCCGAAGGAACGTCCCTACATCTCTTTCATGAACCGGAGGGTGCGCCGTGGCTGCCCTTCACTCAGGTGTATCCGGACGGCTTAGGGTCGGAGATCAGTCGCCGGTATCGATGAATTCTGGCCCGAGTGATGAACAAGTCAGCTCTCGGTTGGAACCTATAGGAGGCACATCTTTAGGGCATCATGTCCGTGTCAGGCCTCGCATGGACATATAGGATGCGGCGATGTTGCTTACATTGTTTGATCCAAAGAAGGGTAGAAGCTCCCGCTGTCTCACATTCAAGAACCATGGCAATTATAGCACGAAAAATAACATTAATTACAAACATGGAAGTAAATATAACATTTATTATTGTCTCCAAGGCAATATTTCCAACATGTTGCACATTGGGATAGATTTCACATTGATCTAGGTAATGATTTGCTAATTCACATAGGGAACATGTAACTTCATTCATAGGATATTCCTCTCCTGGATGACTTTCTTCACGATAGTGCGGTCATCGGTTGTTCCCTATAGGTGTGTTCTACTTCTCCACAGATTTTGCAGGCATGGTGCTTTTTCTTGTCACGACCTGATATCCTTGACGTTTGGGTGACAAGGTGGGATCCTAAGAGCATCTCTTTAAATTCTTACTGGTAATGTCCTCTTCTCCTTCGTTGATCATTTGGTGCATCCTTTACCAGGTAGTGGATCCTTTTTCCAGGTGTTGAACAAAACAGTATACCATAACCTTGTCCTCAATGGCATGAATCATCATGTGTTCATCCAAAATCGGAGTCCATTGCTTTGCTTCAAATGGAGTTGCTGTCCCAATAAAGCCGAGTCTTTTGTAGTCCATCCTGCCATGGCTTGGGGTTTTAGGGTCTGGGCTAGAGATTATGTGACAAATAGGGGAGGAATAGATACCCTTACAAGCATCTTCCTAGTTTCAAAAGTAAGTTTTGATGTGTGGTTGTCAGCAGAACACAGAAGATGTCATCTCACATCTAATGTATCTATAGACGTGACTATATACACGTCTTAAATCTTCAAAGTCTTTGTTGTTTTCAAGTTCTTCAATGTTGGAAGTTTACTCCACTAGTAGTTGCATCTTCTTGATTCCCAAAGCATGCTAAAGGGATAGGGGGTCTCAAATACACAATCTATCCTACTCACAAAAGATTGCAAATCGCATAACACAATAAGATGTGACTATATAGACGCCTTAAATCTTCAAAGTCTTTGTTGTTTTCAAGTTTTTCAATGTTGGAAGTTTACTCCAGTAGTAGCTGCATCTTCTTGATTCCCAAAGCATGCTAAAGGGATAGGAGGTCTAAAATAC